ACAGGCCGTATAATTTTCTATTCAAATTCATCGTGTGCTTTTTTAGTGAAAATGTTCTGTTCCGGAATTGACGGAAATAGCACCCTCTTCCATTAACGATTGAAGTTGGTTTGCAACCAACGTGATTATTTTACGATTAATGGACTTTGTAGCAGCACGGGCCTGTTTGTAGCAATTTTTCAACATCAATCAACCATTGGTGCGCAATTACCAAGCCCAGTGTCGTTAAGTTAAGAATAGGATTAAGCGAAGTTCACTGGCTTCGCGTGGGTGGGTCCCCAATCCCCAACTGCATTTGAAATAAAAATGGCGCCAACTAAACGACATTGAATTACCACCCACATTTTGGATACAACAATCGGAGGTCCGGCTACTTTTTGATTTTTTGGTTTGCAGACTTTTGTAACCTGATCAGCAAATCGGTGTTCCAGGAATAATTTTGGAGATAAATGAAACAGGAACCCTATTATTACAACGAGGAAACAATTACAATCTTTCAACTAAAGAATTATGAATATCAAAGACGCAAAAGTATTAGTAACAGGCGGCACCACGGGCATTGGTTATGAAACAGCAAAGCTGTTACGCTCGCAAGGTGCGCAGGTGGTTATCTGTGGCCGAAATGATGAAAAAGTACAAGCCGTAGCGGCGGAGCTGGATGTGTATGGCATAAGAGCGGATGTGAGCAACGAAGCGGATATTGAAAATATGTTTGCCTTTGCACTCGGCAAGCTCGGTGGTTTGAATGTACTTATCAACAATGCTGGTCTGGGTTTTATGGCCCCTTTATTAGAAACCTCCACCGAAGACTTTACACGGATATGGGAAACCAATACCAAAAGCATATTTATCTGTGGTAAAATAGCGGCCCGGCACTTTGTGGCTCAAAACGGGGGCAACATCATCAATATATCATCGATGGGCGCCGTACGTGGTATTGCTAATGGCTCGGCCTATGTAGCCAGCAAGGCAGCGGTCACCGGTTTGACTATGTGTTGGCAGGCAGAGTTGCGCAAACATAATATCCGCGTGATGCAGGTAAACCCCAGTGAGGTGATCACTGAATTTGCCGCCAAGATTGGTTATACTTCTGTAGACACGGAACGGAAAATGAAAGGATTGGAGATCGCAGAAGTGATTGTTTCCATGCTGGCGCTGAGCGACCTGGCCTTTATTCCGGAGGTAAATGTATGGG